ACTGCGTACAGACCATCACTCCTACCATCAGTCCCATCACCTCCATCTCCACAGGCACCTCCTCCTCTACGCCCTTCATCACAGTCACTGCTTCTACAATTTCCACCAGTTTCAGCACCAGTACCTCTATATCAACCCCATGTTTCTGTAAAATTGGAAACAACATTTATTCTCCCGGTGGGTTCTACTATTTTTTTCAGTTTGTATATGTCTTCTCACTTGTAGTTTTTAAATTATTATTCTTCTTATTTAATTTATTTTTTATTTTTATACTTTCATACTTTTTTTTCTGATATTTTCTTTCAATTTGACATATGTATAATGGTTACACAGTCTTTCAGTATCTCTGTCTTCTTCAGAGGTATTGTGGAAATCTCCAGATAAAATCGCCTGACCTTTAGTTTTGAGGGGTATTTGATAATAATGATTTTTTACTGAATAAATATTCTGTGAGAAATATCATATATTTTACAAGTGATACCCCATCGAATTTTTCATCATAGCTGATAAGATTCTATGCTCTGACTCTAGGCAACAGCAGTTTTCCCCATTTCTCCCTATTTTCATTATTCTGTATGGTATCATACAGAATGAAACATCACTTTGGTCAACTGGGACCAGCCTTTCTGTTTTTATCCTTTGCTACTTTCTTCTGCAACCCCAGTCTTCTCACTGGCAGGGCAGTAGAGAAAGCTGAGGAATTGTTAACTTAGTATAGTACTGCTTAGCAGCATCATTATTCTCATCCTAAATCTAAAAGACAGAACCATAGGAGTTTATTTGGAAAAAAAATTCTCTACCACCCCAGTTGAAACCAGGACACTTGGAAATGCAATGCTTTGATCAATTTTGAAGAATTTTCATTTTTTTTCTCTTTATTTGACTGTATTTTTTTTTCTTCTTCAGGTGAACTGATTTACAGCACAATGGATAGTGATGGATGTAGATTTTATGCTAGGTGTAGTGAAATATGTACAGTTGAACGCTACACTGGAGACTGTAATTTTACTACTCCATTAACCACTATATCCCCTCAGACGCCTACCATAATAACAACACATCCAATTCTTCCTCCGGGTTGTGTTTCTAGTACTCACCCTCCCCTACAGGTATGTCATTTCCGTGTTATGATTTTTGAAATAACATCAGTATTAGTTTTATACCAGAAAGATATAAGAAAGACACAGTTGCCAATCTTATATATTTTGGTTGTCAAAATAACTCTTGTTACCAGTCAATATATGGCATAAAATTTCTATGCATCTTTTTTCATTTTTTTTCTTTTTTTTTGTAAACTAAGAAAGAAAAGTACAATAATCTTTTTGTTATGATTTCGCAGCTAGTTAAACATGCTTTTTAATGCATGGCATTGTACAGGTAACAAACCTTCTCAATGAAATAAAAAAGCAAGTTTTCTTGTGCTTTTTGACTCTTCACTGAACAGAAAAGTCAAAGCTAGTATAGAGGCTTACATCTCATAACAATATTAGTAAAATTCATACCTGTTTGCAACTTACTGTGACAGCAATTTTTCTTCATTTTGCAGCCTGGCCAGAGATTCAAATTATCCAACTGTACAGAACTCATCTGTGAGGGAAACAACAAAGTTATAGTAAATCAAACAGTGTGTCCACCTATAAAGGAAATTACCTGTGCAAACAAATATCCAGCAGTATTGGTACCTGATGAAAACGGATGCTGTTACCATTATGAGTGTCAATGTAAGTGGAGATTAAGGACTTACATTTTTGAAAATAAGCAAAAGTTTGCACAGAATATAAGGGAATTATGTTTTCCCAAGGTTGCATTTGAAATTGTAGTATGTTCTTCTACATTTACTTTCATGTTAACATAAATATTTTCTTTATGCCAGGTGTCTGCAGCGGATGGGGTGATCCTCATTATATTACTTTTGATGGAACCTACTATACTTTCCTTGAAAACTGCACTTATGTTCTGGTGAAACAGATTGTGCCTAAATATGACAACTTCCGTGTTCACATTGAGAATTACTACTGTGATTCAAAAGATGGACTTTCCTGTCCTAAATCCATTATTATTTTCTACAAATCTGCAACAGTGAAGCTGACCCGTGAACTCCTGAATGGTGTGATGACAAATGTGGTAAAATAAATTTATTTTTACTTCTCTGTTACTGAAAAAGAGAAACAAGGCCCACAGGCTTACTGTTTTTCACTTGAAATACAGTTTGTTAGAATAGCAGATTATAAAGGTGAGAAGAGTATTGTATGTTGTTACAGCAATGCAAACAGGAGTTGGATATGATGCACAACAATACAAAGTTATGCATGATTATGAAGATTAGAAAATACATTACCATTTAATACATTAAAACAATCAGACAGAAGCAGAAGCTTATTCTGAAGTTGTGTTTTTGTTTTGTTTTTTAAACTCTGCATTCAGATGTACTTCAACAATAAGATTGTCCAACCAGGCTTTCACAAAGATGGCATTTATTTCTCCACACTTGGTATCAATATGATTGTAGAAATACCAGAGATTGGTGCAACCATCACCTTCAGTGGGCTGATCTTTTCTGTGAAACTTCCGTACAGCAAATTTGGCAACAATACTGAAGGACAATGTGGTAAGATGGATGTACTAATCATATTTTGCCCATTCTCCATAAATATTGTTACCCACTTTGGCTATGCAAGATCATGATAGGCAGATACATTTTGAAGTGTTTTCTGATGTCAGATTTGGGTTTTGGATTTTGACTGTTTTTTTCGTAAATTAAATTAAAACTCATGTGACTGTAAAGAATCCTCGTGAACTAGAGAATTATACGTTTCATGAGCACATCACATCTAAACTTAGCATCAACACACTAATGTACTGTGCATCACAGATGTGGCATATGAAGCTAACATAACCTGTTATCTTCCAGGAACGTGTACAAATAACAAAAAAGATGAATGTCGCTTGCCAAGTGGTAAGATCATTTCTTCCTGTCCCCAAATGGCTCATCACTGGCTTGTTGGTAATGACACATCATGCACTGGAGTACCACCACCATCAATAGTAACCACACCTCCTGCAAGGCCACAGTGTCGTGTTCCTGAACTCTGCAAGCTTATCATAAGCAAGTAAGAAAAAAAAAAAAAAAAACTAACAACCAGAATGAACTTGCTCTTTCTATACAGAAATGTTTCAGTATTTTATGAAATGGTATGAACTGCAGTCCTATCATGGGATCATTGCTGAAAAAATCAGCCTAATATAAGGATATATACAATAAAAGACCTTTGATAAAGAAACTGCTCTTCTTTAAGGACTTGCATCACAAAGATAGCTGAGTTAGGAGAAGTGAAATTAGAAAATGAGGGAGACAGCAAGCACTAAAGTCGATACACCCTGGGTAGTTACCATATACATTTCTGTTATCTTTTTCCCTCCCTGCTTTCCAGGGTATGCTTACTCACTCTTAGTCACACTATTAAAAGAAGGATGAAACTTCACATGTGAAGTGGTTCCTTAGTCCTGAAAGGAAAGAATTTGGTTACCAACCAGAATAACAGAACAGACAGAAGTGTGTCAGCCAAAGTCTCTTCACTTTTTGAACATTTTATGTAAAACACGGAATTAAAAAAAAAAAAAAAATACCAGCATCAACAAAGGCTGTTTCTTATACTTGTGTGAACTCTAGCAAAAGTTTTTTCAGCTGTGTCATTCATAAAGACCCTCATCTGCATGCTTGCTGTAGTGTCTAATAAGTTGCAAGCTATTCAATTTTTCTGTTTCTTGGGTACTTACAGCATTCTTTTTCCATCTACCTGATGCAATTGCCTTCTTAAATAAATTTCTAGTGTCAGTCTGATAAAACATTGTGTACACTTACATAAACACTATACCCACGAGCCTCTTTAGAAAAAAAATAGAGCTTCAAATTTCCTAGTCTTTCCATTCCTGAATCTATCTCCCACAGTAGTGGCCATTCATATAATTAACTCTCTTTCTCATAATACATTCCTATTGAAGCAGAGAGTAACATGCCGTTAACTGGGAAAATGCCACAAATGGTCAGATTTTACATAATGACCAGTTTCTTCTGGTTTCTTTTCTGTCTGTAGAGTTTTTGCAGAATGCCATGACGTGATACCACCAGAACCATTTTATAAAGGATGTGTTTTTGATGGATGTCGCATAACTGATGAATCCATGCAGTGTTCCAGTTTGGAGATATATGCTACAGAGTGTGCTGCAAGAGGTGTCTGCATTGACTGGAGAGGAAAGACAAACAATACCTGCCGTAAGTATTGCAGAACTCAAAAATGTACGAGTAAACCAGTAGCAGTTAGGATTTTATTGAGTAAGTATATGTTGCATCTTACACTTGACTATAGCATTTTACCTACAAAAATACAGAAATGTCCTTGCTGTCAGAAACCCTCGATGTAGGCAGTAAAGACAAAGTCACTTTTACCACAAAAATAATCTACTATCAGTTTTTGATCATTTTCCATCTTTTGTCATACAGCATACAACTGTCCAGCAAACATGGTATACAAGCCATGTGGGTCCATTAATCCTGCTACCTGCAGCCAAAGGTACGGAAAGACCAAACAAATGCTTATCTTTTTTTTTCCTTCTGTTTTTAACCACTTTCCTTACAAAATAGAACTATTTCATAATTAAATCTCATGCATTTTCATAGTTTATTCAAAATTCATAGATATCAGTCATTGCTATGAATATGCACTTCCAGTTCCATTCAGCAAAATACAAATTCATTTGTCTGCCTTGTATCTGACACGATCTTCTTTACACACCCGTCTCTCCAGCTTCACTGCAAAAACATGGTACTCAAATACACATATATATACATATATTCCTTTCACTCCAGCTTTGTTGACCATCCTGGCTATGGAGTAACTGAAGGTTGTTTCTGTCCTGAAGGAAAGACACTCCTGAGTGAAGACAGCAACATTTGTGTCTCTGAATGCTGTAAGTACTCTATAACTAGTTTGGGGAATGGAGAGCTGGATTGTTTAAGAGAAGACCCGATTAACAATGGCAGGAGATTTGTCATCTTTTACATAGTCAGATCACGGGCAAATCAGCTTATTTAAGCTCCTTTAGTCTCTAAAAACAGAATAATTAAAAAAAAAAAGTTTTTCCCCATCTTCCTTACTTACATGAGACTGAGCAAAATAGAAGAATTCTATCATTTCATATGAACTAGTCTATATGTTCATTTTCTTGCTAGATCTATGTTCATGGTGCTTTTATTTGAAACTGCACAAATTTAATCTTTCTGTCAGTTGTCAGTGGTATAAATCTCCATTATTTATTTTTTTTTCAGCTTGTAGAGAACCAAATGGAGTATCCAGATGGGTGAGTATCACCACCAATGTAATTTATCAAATACAAGCAGCTGAAGCAAGAGGACATTTGTTGTTTGGTGTTTCACAAGAGCAAACCAACATCCTCAGAACCTTCAGTGGTCTCTAGGATCTTCTGCTAATTTGTTTCACTTTAAGGGTTTAACAAATCTAAAAATACTAGGACCACAAAAAGGTTGATGTAATTAGCTAATTAGCTATAACTGTATTTATGGATAAAACATTTAGAAGTTAAAAAAAAATTGATTATTTTATTTATTTTTCATTTTCTTTTTGTATAGCCAGGAGAAAAATGGACAAAAAATTGCCAGGAATGTGTCTGTGACAGATTTACTCTCAGAGTGTATTGTACAAAATACGAATGTCCTCTGCCACAGCAAGTATCTTGTTCTGAACCAGGATACATGCCTGTTCAGACACAGATACCAGAAGATCCATGCTGTACCAGGACTGAGTGCTGTAAGTACTGTCCTCAGTTCTTTATTGTGCTTAATATACTATACTTGTTTTGGGGATCTACAGCAGTAATTTCTCTCTTGGTTTTTGTTTTTGTTTTTTTTTAATATATAATTTGCATTGATCTTATAACTTTTCTCCCTCATACTGCTTCTTAGAGCCTTGTTGCAAAGCATCTACTAGATGCTAGCTCGAAGAGAACAAATTTAAAGATGAATCAATTTTACACTCATAGACAAAGGAAAGTAGCTGTAAATTTGTAATTTAATGTTCGAAAGGAAAAAAAGAAAACCTGTAGCACTGCCACCACCTGAAACAATAATCAAAAGCTATTCAGTATCTCTTATTTTTCAAAGACCAGCATAAACATTTTATCTAATCTTAATATATCTCTTTTAAGAATTGTTCAAGAGAGTGTCTGACACTCAGAGAGCCATCAGATTTTCTGATTAGTTTCTCTTTGGAAATATGTCTTTTCAAGCAATCATCACTCTATTCGCTTGTTTTGCAAAGGTTATAGAAAAGCTCTTTCACTTTAAAAATAGATGGGCAAATATACTGAAATAGTTATTAAACTTACTTGTTTTTACCTACAACACTGTATTTGCCTCACTGGAAAACTTCTGAAGTTCATGCAAAACAAAACTTAAAAATTCATAATTTGCTGTCTTCTTTTACATTACAGACTGCAACACGAGCCTCTGCCCTGAGGTCACACACCAATGCTTAGAGGGACAGGAAGTAATCACAGTAACACAGCCTGGAAAATGCTGCCCTACCTTTGAATGCAGTAAGTACCATTTTTCAATGCATTACTCAGAGCTACGAATACAAAATCCTTAAAAGAAAAAGATGTAATTAATCAGTGTTGTCATATTGGGCCAAGAAAGGTAGCAGTTTCTTCATATACTTCAGCTTCTTAAATTTTACACCTTGGTGACACTATCTTTCTTTCTTCTTTCCAGGACATGGCTGTGTAGTCAATGAAACCTACTATGCGGTAAGTACACAGTATCACTATAAAGTACTCACTATAAAAATACAACTTTACATAGATTCACAATGAAATGTTTTCGAGACCCCTATTGTAGATGCCATTTTGCAAAAAGGACCAAGATATTGAGGTCAGCATATCAGCACCCTTCCTTATATGCAAAAGTATTATCTGCTCACCTTTAACATTAGCATAATTTCCTTTCAAAATGAGAAGCAGCATGGACACAACCAACAATAGAAACTCTGCTTAAATTAAACAACCAAAATTGAATTTAAGGATAGTTTAGCCTATAGATAGTTCAGCCTTGAATTACACACAGCAACTTGCTATTACTAATATCAATTTTTGTTCTGTCTTTCCCAGCCTGGAACTGTGATCCCATCAGGCCCCTGTGAAAGCTGCACCTGCTCCAAATCCTCTTATTCAAGCCCTCAGAAGTTTGCTGTCAAGTGCCAGCCTGTTACCTGTGACACCTACTGTCCAGTGGTGAGTGCTATTTTACAGTCAGTAATGCCTACCCTGCTCAGTTCAAACATCTGCCGCTTAAGCTCAGTATCCTGGCTCAACAATATTCCTTCTCTGTTTCTTTCAAAACAGGGTTACAAGTATACAGAGGAACCTGGAAAGTGCTGTGGCACATGCAAGGCTGAAGCCTGCATAGTGGTCATGGAAGACAACACTACACACGTACTTAAGGTAACTAGCCCTGCTGCAACTCACCTTTGGTGAACTCTGTTTGCCTTTTAACTCTTTGCTTTCCTTGCCTCTATCACATTTACTTGCAGTGTCTTTTCACATATTCGAATACTGCTTACTCAGATGAGGAAGGACTGTCTCACATGGCTTGAACAGAACCTTGAGCCATGAGGCTAACGGTTGGCTTCTGGAACCAACCGTGATACTGAACAATGGCTTTCAGAAGTCCAAATAGAAAAATCTGTGAAAGCAATGCCATCTTATTTGCCTTCAACAAGAAAACATAACACCAATTTTGCTCAGTTTTGTCTTTCTATGTATGGAGGCAGCTTCTGCTCCAAATACCCAAACTCAAGTTAGCTGTGAGCTCAAGAACAGGATGAGTTGGTGAAAACACCTGGAATTCTGTCATGTACCTGAAAAGAATTAGGGCACATCATAAATTCTGACAACAAAACCACTGAAACACAAGTCAGTCTTCACTTACCCCATGCACACAAAAACCATGACCATAGCCACCTAAAATCACATCCTCTTCCCTTGGTTAATGAAAAAGGTCAATAAGCAACTACCAGCTGCAATTCAAGGACATTATTGAGATAAGCATGTCACAGCACATAGCAATGATAGAACACTAGTAGTTTGGGTATTTTTGCTTCACCTTCATGCAAGATGCTTTTTATTCACTTTTATTTAATTTAACTACTTTCAGATTGGAAAATTCTGGAGCCCACCTGGTAATAACTGTACAACTTACACATGTGAAAAATACAATGGCCAGTTCATTACAGTCATATCAAAGAAAAGCTGTCCCGCCTTCAACCCGGATCTCTGTGAACCTGTAAGTACTTGTCTACCAGCTCTCATGTTTGTTTGAAAAGATTGCAGTGATTAGCACCAGCGATAGCAAGATCATGGTGTCCTAGAAAAATAACTACCAGGAGCATCACATGGGATGTAACTCTGATTTTATCCTCTCTGAAACTGTCTCCCATCAAATTTCACTTTAAAAAGCAAGTCAAAATTAAAAATGGCAATATATCCTCACTGGGGAAATAAAATAGCACAGGGTACTAGGGAAAAGGGCACAGCATAATGCTTTGCATTCCTAAAAGTACCAGGTGTCTAGGAGCAAGAATATTACCAGAAAATAATGGGATTTTTATTCCTAAATTATTTAGGCTGATAATTTCACTTTTGGAAACCAATCATTAAGAGCAAAGGTGAAGGAAAACAAGCTACTTCAGTTCACTTAATACACCTCAGGAAAGATAAGAACCAGTACCAGACATCTGTAGTGTCAGTAGTTCATTAACTGTTTTACACTGTCTGATATAACCCGTAATCTACACTGATTTTTGTACCTCAAAATATCCCACGTGCACTGCAAGCTTTATTTCTCAATTTTTACTACTGAACTCTGATGATAGCAAAGCAATTCCAGTCCCTTCCGTGTATGCTTCTAAAGAAGTCTTATTAAGTACTGAAGCAGTAGTTATGCGCCTTTAATATTTAGATCTGCTTGAAATTAGATTCCATGCCAATACAAAGAACTTTCTGGCACCAGAAAACCCTACAAACCAAGTCTCTGCTTTATCATGCATATATGGAACCTGAATCATCTTTTTCTTTTTCCCCACTCAAGGACAGCATCAGGCTATCAGATGATGGCTGCTGTAGAGTGTGCTCGATCCCACCATCAGGTAAGTAATGGTAATTTTGGGTAAAAGCACAATATGTGCCTTGTTAGCTGCATTAGTTCAACTTGCACGGCAGGAACAAAGACAGAAGAGGTGAAAAGACCAAATCTGGTACCAGTGTTTCCATACCACCTGGTATGAAACAGAACATTTAGGGCCTTTGAAAATACGGATATAGTGAACTTTCCCATCCTGTACTGTTCAGTAGTAGCCTTTTAATGAAATAGAGAGGACTACGCTTATTCTCCAACTTCTACAGACACATTCTCTTTAAGGATGAAAGTGAAGCTGGTCCTGGGAGATGGAACAGTTGCCACGGCACTGCTCTATATTTCTGCATCCTGCACCACTGCAGCATAAAGGGAATTTTCCACTCAGTGCTAAGACAAGTAGCACAATCTATCATTTAGCCATAAGCAATTAAAAAAGAAACGCACTGTGACATAACTTCCTATTTCAGCTCCATGCATCTCAGTTTTCAGCTAAGGACTGTCTATCATATATAAATATCTATTTATATATACATATATTTTAACCTATTTTCTCTTGGTTTGTGGCAACATCAGGTTGCAAGAAGCACAACACCACTACTGTCATCAAATACCAAGGATGTGTTTCTGCACCCGTTGAGATGACATACTGTGAAGGCAGCTGTGATGCTTACTCAAGGTAAGTGGTGTAAAAGATAACTGTAGTCTCCTGTCTTCTATTTGTTACGATAATAGCAGAAAACAAATAGCTAGTGATTTTCTACAATGTCTAACACTCACCAAGCCATCAACTGCTCCCATTATGCTAACCAGAATTTTTAACAGACATGGTGCTACATCAGCTTAATTATCTCAAGACTAACCAGGTCTTAATAGACTATTAAGTGACTGGTCCCGAGTTTTGATCTTGCCTATGTAAAAGTGAGGTTATTTGTTTCATACCAGTCTCTCATTCTGGACTGGCTTGATCTGTTATCGGGATTAGTTTTTTTCACTTTACTTTTGTCTTAATGAATTATGAATTACAAAATGGTTTGAGTTGGAAGAAACCTTTAAAATCATCTAGTTCCAAACCCCCTCCCATGAGAAGGGACATCTTCCACTAGATCAGAATCAAGAGCTAGGTTTACCCATTTTTACAATGAAGAACAAATTCTGTGTCACCAAACTACTGGAAGATTGGTAATATTAAGACATATCCCCACATGCAAACGCACAACTTCTACTTACATTTAGCAATGTGTGAGAGGGCAGTGATATTTGTCACATAATTTCTGAATATTTCTCTTTTGTTGGTTTTGCAAACAGGTATTCTCAAGAAGCAAACATGATGGAACATAAATGCTCATGTTGTCAGGAAATCCAGACTAGTGTAAGAAAAGTGACTTTGACATGCAGTGATGGAACCTACCTTGATCACTCATACACCTATGTGGACCAATGCAGCTGTGTGAGTGCTGAGTGTGTTCCACAAGACATTGCCAACCAACAACAGCAAACAGGCAAAATATGAGATAAAGACCTCTCAAGAAAAAGGGAATGTCTAAAATTAGAACTAAAGAGAAGCCAAATAAGTTGAACATAGATGAAAACAAACATTTGAAAGAAAGTGTCAAAAGCAGCTACAATTTTTGACGAACAGCTTATATTTTCTGCATACAAGCTCAATATTTCTGTCTACATTATGTCAGCTATCCTTACCATTGTATCTCATACTGTTTTTCATGACTTTTCTTTACACCTTGAGAGGTACAGTATAAGATCATTTTTATATTTCCTGTTAGTTTGTCTTATGAGAAGTGCTAAACCATAAGATTTAGACCACACAAAATCTTTTATTAGAATGACATTCTTTTCAAGGCTTTCCTTTGATGGCACAATATAAACTGCACTGGTGCAGAATAAATATTACTCTGTAGGAAATCAAGTTCTGCTGGTCATGACATTCCGCAACTACTTGACAATATCTGAGATTTCCATTGATACACTGAACTATTACGGAACATTTCAATTTCAGTTCTTTGAGACAGATCAAAAGCTAAAGTCCAAGAAAAAAAACGGTACCTCTCTTTTACTTTCTTTTTTGCATTGTGGAAAACTTAGATTGCAAAAAGCCATATCTTCTCAAAACTATAAAATTGAATATTATAAACAATTTTTAGGGCATTTTCCTATCTATTCTCATGAGAAAGAAAAGAAAGAAAAAAAAAGAAAAGAAGAAAGAAGAATGAGAGAGAGAGAAAGATACTATAATGATAAGCTGCTGCATACTACTGTTTGTTTACATAACATCATCAGCATAGAAACTGTATGAAAATTTGGAATTTTTTTTTTCTTTGTGGTTAACTGTTTACAGAAGAAGTATATATATATATATATATATTGCCAATGGGGCAAATGAAGGACTTTTGTAAACAAAAGTAATAATAATAATATTATGTGTAAATTCTTTCCTAGAAAGCTTTTTAAAAGTTGTACTATTGCTATTTATTTTGTTTTTTGGAGAACTGATTTATTGGGCCATTTCTTTCAGAATTAACGTTACCCCATTTTTTAGTCTTAGTCATCTGGGTGTGGTATATTTTCTTCTTCCATTTTGTTTTGGAATATTGTTTTATTTTTGTTCTCTATGAAAAAAAGTAATGATGATTAATAAATTTTAAGCATTGTACAGCATGTCTCCTCAGTCTTTTCCCTGAAACACTCCCTGCTGGCCCTATAAAATATTTGCTTCCCACTCTACCACAGCTGTATTTGAATAGCTCTACAGAATCACAGAATGGTTGAAGTGTGAAAGGACTTCTGGGTCCATCTAGTCCAACCCCCTGCTCAAATCCAGACATCCAGAACCATGTCCACATGGCTTCTGAAGATCTCCAAAGAAGGAGACACCACAACCTCTCTGGGCAATGTATGCTCAGGCACAGAAGTACTCCCCACTAGACGGAATCTCCTGTGTTCCAGTTTGTGCCCATCTCCTCTTGTTCTGGTACTGGGCATCACTGAAAATAGCCTGGCTCCATTTTCTTCACAACTTCCACTCAGGTATTTGTGGACATTGATGATATCCCTTTGAGCCTCATCTTCTCCAGGCTGAACAGTCACAACTCTCTCATCTTCTCCTCATGGGAGAGCAGCATCTTGGTGGCCCTCTGTTGCACTATTTCAAAAATGTCCAGGTCTCTTCTGTAGTGGAGGGCTCAGAACTGGACACAACATTCAGTGTAGCCTCACCAGTGCAGAACTGAGGATCAACCTCTCTTGACCTGCAATACTTTGCCTAATGCAGCCAAGAATATCAGCTGCTTTCTTAGCAATAAAGGCACGCTGCTGACTCACGTTCAACTTGGTACCTACCAAGACTCCTGCGTCCTTTTCTTCAGAGCTGCTTTCCAGTTGGGTGCCTACCATGTTCCTGGTGCCTGGGGTTTTCCATCCCAAGGTGCAAGATTCTAAAAGCGTTCCAAGTACACCCCTTCTGATGCCATCAGTAAGTGAGATTTCAGTAAGCAACCACATTTTGGGTCCGTATATACTTTATAAATCTAGAAGTTCTTTACCTGACTGACAAACTATCAAAAATTTCCTAAGCCAGTTAGTCTCATATCTTAATGCCTACAGAAACATACATAAATCTCAAACAAGCCTGAAATTGCACTGTTGCAAATATACAAATTCTAAGTTACCATGCACCTTTACTTTGAACTAGCTACCACAGACCTGAGTGTAGTTTGTATATTGACAATTTTTTACATAGTTCACAAATGACTAAATGTCTTCTTGGGCCAGTAGAGGCAATAGTAAATAAATAAATAAATAATGATAAAGAGCTTTACAGTCTGGACAACTCAATAACAGTTGTTTCTGACTTTTACAATTGGGTAACAACATAGGTTTCCTGCAGATGCAGATGCCCAGATAAGGCTGCTTTTCTCATCTTTTAAAGAACAGCATCAACTTATATACCTCCCAGTAAGAAGTGAGCATTTAGTTGTCCCTGAGGATCACTGGTAACTTCTTACCTCCTGCTGCCAAAAATCTGCCCTAAGTCCTTCCAGCTTCCTACTGACAAATTGTCACTTCATTGTCTGCTTTTTGGCTTTTCAGAAAACTTCCTCTTCCCAGGTCTTGGGCTTTGCTGCTTCACAGTGAGGCTCAGGTGGTTTACTGCACATATTCCTCCTTTCCTCTAAATCCATTAAGCTTTCCTATGCAGCACTACTCATGAATTTGTGACCAATTTGGTGAGTGACAAATTCTCTGAATTTTACTCCCAGGTAAACTGGGAAATAATTCTTCTCCTGCTCATTCTGCAGAAGGGAAAAGCGAATGTCCATCTAGTATAAAAAGAAAAAGAAGCAAAGGAAGGGACAGACCCTGGTCCTGGCATGAAGAAGCAAGGAGACAAGGAAACAAGGAGAGGAACCCCAAGCAAAGGTAAACCATGGAGGCATGCAGAACCTGTGGCTGAGGACACACTAGAATCCCTGCCCTGAAGAAAGAAGGAACAGTCTCACATACACAGTTCCAGAGATGAGAAAGATAAAGTGGGGACTATCAACTAGGGAGAAGAAGAACAGAGGTCACAACATGCTTTGTGCATGAAAGAGCATCTAGAAGGACTTACAGGAACTCTAAGACCAGCATTAAGCAATACATGGAGTAGATGAAAAATTAGGTACCACTAGTATTATAGGCTCCCTAAATTTTCCTTTGCATAAGAGCTATCTTTGTTCTGAGATACTACTGACACAGATTGGGTAATAGCTCCAAAGTAAATAAATAACTCCTTTCTAAAAACTGGGATGAATGAGATCAGTTGCTTTCTCATAAATAAATCACTAATATTTTAAACCGTAGATAAATATAAAGTCAATAAAAAAATTAGGCGATTGGCTTGGTAGCCCTTTACTGACACAGACCAGAATAATGTGCAGTTCACAGTGATCTACATTACTGTGGACAATTAATATGCATTACACAAACACTAACACTAGAGGGCTCTAGGCTCAC